CTTGGGAGAGCAAAAGTATTGATGAAACAAGCAAAATGTCTTCATCAAAAGAACCATAATATTTTATATAAATGTTTTCTACATAATAAAGTAAACTTGTATTTATATAAAATCTTCCTGGACTTCAATAATGAGACTTTTAATTTGAGGTCTAAGCAACAAGATAGGAATGTGTGATATAAACCATGCCACTCTCAGCACATCTTTGACTCAAATATTTTGGTAGAATTATCTGTACCTATATCTCTCATAAATAATTATTGAGGGAGAAACATATGTAAAGTTGAAAATCACACCCATGTCCCCCACTCCAATTTGGCAATATTCTAACTGAACTGTCAGCAGTATGGATATCAAATTATGTTTTTTACTGTGAATTAAACTGAATTGGAAAATCCAGCTTGTATGTATAGTCAAATTGACTCCTAATGCCTTCGCCATTGAATGGACTGGCAGTACTACAGACTCATCCTGTGCCATCACTCCACTGGGGGCTGAGCCTGCCATCATAAACCTCACTTGTGAATGCTTATTAAGTTGAAGGCCTAAAAGGCCATGAATGCACAACACTTTTTCTCAGTTCACCAATCACATAGTCATTCCTGTTTTCTTAGGGTGAATTGATAAACAGGCAAAGATAGTTGGAAAATTACTTTTTGTACTTTGTGACTCAATAGGGCAGACATTCTATGTCTTGGCCATAGAAAATGTAGTAGGGGTAGAAAATTGTTCTCACTGATATTCTCCCTCCCAGTAACATAAATATGTGATCTATAGTCAATCCTTTCCAAGTATTTAAAAATTTGAGAGTAAACATTGCACTTTTAGGTAATAATATGAAAGTGGTAATAATGATGCCTCAGGAAACAACACAATTCAGTGAGTTCAATCGATGAAATTCACTCTTTCCAAAAAAGAAAGGGAATAATAGAGGGCAAAACAACCTAGAAATAGGATCAGAAGATTATCATTAAAAATAAATATTACAAATATTTGAGAGACACCCTGGTTTATGTTATTTCTGTGACTGTCATTTTAAAAGCAAATATAGTGTTAGAAAAGTATTAGTAGGAATAAGATGCATAAAAATAAGTATATTGAGGATTCTTTCAACTCCTATGACAGTATTACATTCATTTCTGACAAGTAAGTACAAAACAGGATGTAGAAAAAACAGGAAGTTTCCATACAAAATAGAAAAATAAAATAAAATGTTCCAGGGCAGTGGATCATGCCTGTAATCCCAGCACTTCGGGAGGCCAAGGTGGGTGGATCACGAGGTCAAGAGATCAAGACCATCTTGGCCAACGTGGTGAAACCCCATCTCTACTAAAAATACAAAAACTAGCTGGGCGTGGTGGCAGACTCCTGCAGTCCCAGCTACTTGGGAGGCTGAGGAAGGAGAATTGCTTGAACCCAGGAAGCAGAGGTTGCAGTGAGCCAAAATCATGCCGCTGCACTCCAGCCTGGCAACAGAGTGAGACTCGGTCTCAAAATAAATAAATAAAATGCTAGAAGGCAATGCTGAAAAATAGAAAGTGCATATATATGCTTTGAAACACACAAATTTTGGTTGAAATATTAGCCCTGTGACATGTTAATTTCAAGACTTTAATGATGCTAGTTGACATCCCCTACTCTCTTTGCTTTGTCCATAAAATGAGAGCAACTTCATATGGGTGTTGTGATAGCAGAGGTCACATCATGTTTGGCCCACGCTAACCACTCAAACATAAATAATTTCCTCACTCCCTGGGAAACATATTATTGAAAAAAAGAACTGGAGGCTGAAAGAAATGAATTTATTTGGAATTGTTTTGAATGAAAAGAGGTGATTTAGTGTACCCTCTCATCCAGTAAACAGTCTGTTAACACCCTGAAGAACCTGCACTCGAACAAACAGCTTCACATTGTATCAATTTTCATTTCGACTTCCTGGGAATGGAATAATACTGTAATAGGACGTAGGCCTTAGAAGTGTTCAGAAAATCATGCAAAACCATCATAAATATGTGTCTAAATAATTTGAGAATAACCCAATCTAATCCCTTGTGCAAGTATTTTAATCTGTGTATGGCATATCTTATTCACTTATCTTATGACTGAACTTCCCCAAATCGTTCTGAAACTATATGTGTCAATTTAATGCATTATACATCTTAATTTCTAATAAATGTTTATTTTTATAGCTTTTACAACTGGGACACTAATATTGCTGTTTGTAACTCAAGTCCCAACTATCAAGTGATTGCTGATAATCCAGAAGGCTTACTTTTCAAATTCAAAAGAGACAGAAAAATTCTCAATGTGGACCCAAAGGTAACTCTGTTTTTATACTTAGATATCTCTTAACATATTATTGTATTTCTGCCATTATTCAAAAATCTATTAAGTATGTGACACTCCTAAGTTGTTAAATTTAGAAAGGAAAAAACATTTTGAAACTTAGAGCATATACTACCTTTTAAAAAACACTCTAATGCTTCATAAATTATTAGAAATTAATAAGAGAACTCACAAGTGGAAACACTTCTTTTTTAAAAAATATATATTTTATTGCGTTTTAGGTTTTGGGGTACATGTGAAGAACATGCAATATTGTTGCATAGGTACATACATGGCAGTGTGATTTTCTGCCTTCCTCCCCATCACCTATATCTGGCATTTCTCCCCATGTTATTCCTCCCCAACTCCCCACCCACCACTGTCCATCCCCTAGTTCCCCGTCCACAGACTCCAGTGTTCTCAGGAAACTGACACAAGAACAGAAAATCAAACACTGCATGTTCTCACTCATAGGCGGGTGCTGAACAATGAGAACACATGGACACAGGGAGGGGAGCATCACACACTGGAGACGCTTCTTAATGTTTGCATTGCACCAAGGAGTCAGTGGGCCATGCATGTGCTTCCCCTGATCCTGGAGATATCCAGCTGCTTGTTGCTGTTAGTTAGAAAAGGGAGACTCTTACCTTACATTTGTACTCAGAATTCTAATACCCCTCTGTGTATGTGACTAACAATAAAAATTGGATAGTTCTTAATGTATTTCTAAGTGTTAATTTGGAAAACACTTTTACTTAAATATTTTAAAGACATGTCCCATGACATTTTGAATTTGTTCAAAGACAAATATTTACATCTTGCATATATTCAAAGACTGCATTTGGATCATGACATTTTCTTACAATTTGTCATAAGTCTAGGAATGAAAGTTGAAACCTTGCTTGAAATCATTACGTGTTTGAGTTGCATCAGTAGGTTTCATTTTGTTGTTGTTTTTTAATTTTGAAAACTATTATTCACATGACAGCATCACTCTAAAATCCAAATACATGAAAAATATTCCTTCATAGTAAAATAAATAAAAATGATGTGATACATATGGAATATAGGCAAAGATGGGGGAGTCAGGTTATAATAACTTTTCCAAAAGTTTTTAGAAAACCAAAGTCAAAAATCCAATCTATATATCATATCCACTTAGTACAGCTCCTTGCACCTAAAAAGTGCTAAGTGACCATGTGTTTGAAGGATTAATGAACAAAATTGCGTAGCAAGAAATAAATGATTACCTGAAATGAGATTTAGCCACGAATATCAGAAATGCTGACATAGTAACTTAGGCAGGATAGAAGCTGCTTTCTCTTCCATATGTAAGTCTAGATAGTGACAATCCAAGGTTGATATGACAGCTCTACAGTCATCTGGGCCAGAGTAGCCATCATTTTCCTGGGCCAAGATGGATGTCCAGCCAAAACAACCACATTCAAAACATAATGCATGGATGAGGGTGAGAGGGTACAAAGAACATTCCCCTGCTGCCTTCAAAGGGAGTTTTCAAAAAGCTACCACACAAATGTTCACTTACGTTCCATTATAAGAAGTTAGTCTTACGGAGATGATTAACCACATGCAAAGCTGGGAAATAAAATCTTAATTCAAGTGGCATGCACCCAGCTAAAAACAGGTATTCTGAGAAAGGGAAAAGAGAGTTTAAGGAGACAACTGGCAACTTCTAACACAATGCTATCTCTTTTGAAATAGTAATACTCTTTTTTGGTCTGAGGTTTCTCATTAGTGAAATGCTATTTATTAAATTTTCTGTACTTTGCCCCAGCTGATCTCATTTTGGTTTTGTTGTTGTTTAAATTTATTTATTTTACTTTAGGTGCATACTATATCTGGCTGTGTTATCCCTCCCACCCTCCCGTCCCTCCCCACCCCCCGCTGTCTCTCCCCTACACCCGCCAACTGCCCCCAGTGTGCGATGCTACTCTCCCTGAGTCCCCGTATTCTCATTGCTCAACACCCACCTATGAGTGAGAACATGCGGTGTTTGGATTTCTGTTCTTGTGTCAGTTTGCTGAGAAGTAAAGAGGAACCAGTATGAAGAAGTAGAGTTGATAAACTACTCTGGTATTCATCGAGTCATAATAAATACGGCCCTAAAACTCTGATCCAGTACTTCATTTCACTTTCTTAGAAGTCTGAACTATATAAATAAGAAAAGATTTTATTGTTTAACACCCGCCTATGAGTGAGAACATGCGGTGTTTGATCTTCTGCTCTTCTGTCAGTTTGCTGAGAATGATGGTTTCCAGGTTCATCCATGTCCCTACAAAGGACCCAAACTCATCGTTTTTGATGGCTGCATAATATTCCATGGTGTATATGTGCCACATTTTCCCTATCCAGTCTATCGTCGATGGGCATTTGGGTTGGTTCCAGGTCTTTGCTATTGTAAACAGTGCTGCAATGAACATTCGTGTACACGTGTCCTTATAGTAGAACGATTTGTAATCCTTTGGATATATACCCAGTAATGGGATTGCTGGGTCAAATGGAATTTCTATTTCTAGGTCCTTGAGGAATCGCCACACTGTCTTCCACAATGGTTGAACTAATTTACACTCCCACCAACAGTGCAAAAGTCTTCCTATTTCTCCACATCCTCTCCAGCATCTGTTGTCTCCAGATTTTTTAATGATCGCCATTCTAACCGGCGTGAGATGGTATCTCAGTGTAGTTTTGATTTGCATTTCTCTGATGACCAGTGATGATGAGCATTTTTTCATATGTTTGTTGGCCTCACGTATGTCTTCTTTTGAGAAGTGTCTGTTCATATCCTTTGCCCACTTTTGAATGGGCTTGTTAGTTTTTTTCTTGTAAATCTGCTTTAGTTCTTTGTAAATTTTGGATATCAGCCCTTTGTCAGATGGGTAAACTGCGAAAATTTTTTCCCAATCTGTTGGTTGCCGATTCACTCTAATGATTGTTTCTTTTGCTGTGGACACAGGGAGGGGAGCACTACACACTGGGGTCAGTTAGGGGGAAATAGGGGAGGGACGGTGGGGGGTGGGAAGCTGGGGAGAGATAGCAAGGGGAGAAATGCCAGATGTAGGTGATGGGGAGGAAGGCAGCAAATCACACTGCCACGTGTGTTCCTATGCAACAATTTTGCATGTTCTTCACATGTACCCCAAAACCTAAAATGCAATAAAATAAATAAATGGGAAAAAAAAAAGATTTTAAATTACTAACACTCTTGTTAACATGCGTAAAAGAAATATTTGAATCGATTTTGAATGATATCATATTTAAACTATTTTAGGGCTGCATTTTAACTAATGGCATATTTCAAGAATGTATGCCATGAATTGTAGCTTTTATGGTCTTTGGGGAATCATTATTGAATGTGAACTGTTGCTTAAACATGGTTCAAATAATTTTTAACTAAAACTCTTACTTCCCAAATAGTCAACTATGAGATGTCAACATGGCATATAACATTTGTCTCTTTTCTTCTGAAAGAGTTTTATTAGAATTTATGATAAATTTGAAGAAAAAATTTTCTAACTCTTGAAGAAAGAAAAAGCATTTGGTTAATGAGTGATAAGAGTAAGAATTATTAGGTGAGACATCCAACAACATTTGGATACATATATTTCTTTACATTTTAATTTTATCTTGTGGAAAACAAAAATCAGTAGTAGATTTAAGAAAGGAAATGTTGGTCTCAGCATTAATAAACAGACTTTTAGACTTTACTGTTAATTGGCTGCATGACCTTAATAAATTCACTCAACTTCCCTGGGTTTTAGTGGTCACAATTAGAAGATACACGGTTTTTCTGTTGTTGTTTTTGTTTGTTTTGTTTCTTTCTGATATATAGAGTTCCTTTAAAGCACCAGGCCCAGTTTTCAGAGATTCTGCCCCAACTGGGACCAGAAGTACAGATTTTAATAGGCAGCCAGTATGAATCTGCTGCAGGTTGTTTACAAATTGCAATTTGAGAAAAATTTCCATAAAAAGTCAATAGTCCAAAAAATGTGTCAATCTCTTCTCAAAAATAGGTAGAAAAACCCTTAGATATTTTAATTATTATGGACCATATTCACCTCTTCAACAATCCAAGATCTTTTGTATTTTGTGCATCCAACATAAGATTTCTTATAGACCTACAGAAGAACCAAGAAATAAGCAAAATACATAGTGATAGGAATTACATTTTTATATTCAATAGTTTTTTTAGCAATTTTAATTGAAATTCTTCCTAAGGTGAACATCTCACAAATCCAGTAAAGTGCTATAAAATAATATAAAAGCAATTCAGCTCTCCTTTTCTTCTCCTTAATGTATGCTCTTTGAAATACTTTATGGTTAAAATTAAAGAGGTCAAGATAAATGAAAGGTGGAAACAGTGATAAACAGGATGTGTTTACTTTGTACGACACAGATGTGGACTCATTAATTCTGAAGCATGTTTCCCATGAAAGGCAGTTGTTTAGGAATGGTAACAATGGAAAAAGAAACTTGTGCAGTTCTTACAACAAGTAATATGAGTTCATTGGTTAAGAAATTCCAAATGCAATAAGAGTTTGGTTGCATTAAAAACAGGACCACTGACTTTAACTTCCCTGCAGCTGTATAACATCTGGAACAAATAAGCCAAGTTTCTATTTTTGAGTGAAGAATGCTTGTTTGAGTGATTCACATCCACCAAAATGTTTCCAGTGTATTATCTTTAGAAGAATTAAATGGAAGCAGTTTGCACTCTGTCCAATATATTATCTGGACAAATTTTTAAAATAGGACTTTTTTTTTTTTTACTTTTAAAAAACATTAACCATGGGAGAATTTTCTTTGAGTCTTACCATAGCATATGTGGTCTAAAACTGGAGGAACCACTAATAAGGCGAGAGAGAGAGAGAGAGATTGTATACAATAGTTACAACAACAAAAAAAATTCTTGGTTACACCAGCTTTTCTCCACTTCCCCTTTCTGAGAGGCCATCACCTGGAAAAATGCCTTGCTA